GATGGGAGAGGGAATGGGAGAGGGAATGGGAGAGGAGGGATGGGAGAGAGATGGGAGAGGGAATGGGAGAGAGGGATGGGAGAGGGAATGGGAGAGAGATGGGAGACGGAATGGGAGAGAGATGGGAGAGAGATGGGAGAGGGAATGGGAGAGGGAATGGGAGAGAGATGGGAGAGGGAATGGGAGAGAGGGATGGGAGAGGGAATGGGAGAGAGATGGGAGAGGGAATGGGAGAGAGATGGGAGAGAGATGGGAGAGGGAATGGGAGAGGGAATGGGAGAGAGGGATGGGAGAGGGAATGGGAGAGAGATGGGAGAGGGAATGGGAGAGAGGGATGGGAGAGGGAATGGGAGAGATGGGAGAGGGAATGGGAGAGGGAATGGGAGAGAGGGAGCCAGGGGACAGAGATTGGGGAGAGAGGTTAGGGACAGACAGGGTAGAGCCTGGGGATAGAGGCAGGGGATAGAGACGGGATAGAGCTTGGGGATAGAGTTTGGGGATAGAGTTTGGGGGTAGAGTTTGGGGGTAGAGTTTGGAGAGAGCAGGGCTTGGGGATAGAGCCTGGGGAGAGAGATGCAGGATAGAGCTTGGGGATAGACAGGAGAGAGCCTGGGGACAGAGCCTGGGGATAAAGTTTGGGGATAGAATTTGGGAATAGAGCTTGGGGAGGGCAGAGTTTGGAATAGCAGAATTTGGAGAGAGCAGGGTTTGGGAGAGCAGAGCGTGGAGAAGAATGGATGAGAACAATGTTTGAGGAGAGCAGAACTTGGGGAGCAGAATTTGGGAGAGCAGAGTTTGAGATAACAGAATTTGGGAGAGCAGAATTTGGGATGACAGAATTTGGGAGAGCAGAGTTTGAGATGACAGAATTTGGGAGAGCAGAGTTTGGGCAGGCCAGAGTTTGGGGAGGCAGCAATGGGAACAGAGTTTGAGCTGGCAGAATTTAGACAGCAGAATTTGGGGACAACAGAGTTTGGAATGGCAGGATTTGGAGAGAGCAGGATTTGGGACAGCAGAGTTTGTCTCAAGGGCCAGTCCAGAGAGGAACATTTGAAGGATTATTTAATTTCCAACATCCCTTGTTGAAAATAACCACTTTTAATTGTAATAATTTTAATTTTAATAAGTTTAAGAACCAATAAGGCACTTTCCCTGCCCATTCTTCAGTGTTTGGTCCCTGCAAGTTCTGTGGAAAGATCCAGAAGTTCTGGATTTGTTGATGGGCTCTGACAAGTCCCTGAATGTTGCCACACCTCAATAAATCATGTTTGTTCTGCTCTGCAGTGGGGTTATGGAGACCAAGAGTGATCAGGCCCTGGTTGGAGTCCAGAATTATTTGGAGGTAGGTCCTGTTGTCATAAAAATGAGGCTTTTAGGATCACATTGTTCAGCCCTAGAAATTACTGAGGTAAATATAATTTAGAGACAGACGGTCAATAAAACAGAGTGGTAAACACTGTGAAGTTCAAAAGCAAATACCTAAAATGATGTCATGATTCTGACCTTAAAAAACCTTCAATGAGACTTAATTAAGCCCAGAACTGACTCTGAGAGCTGCTGGCCCACCTGAGCTTTGTGGCTTGTCCTTAAAACTGCCTCCATGTCCAATTCCTTCATGGATTTAGCAGCTGGGTGCTGTCTCCTCCCAGGAGAGGTGGGACACACAGGTTTGCAGAACAAAGCACAGCAGGATGTCCATTGTTCCGTGCTGCTTCCATTTTATTTTTGGAATTCTGTTATGCCAGGGTTAAAAATAATTATGAACCTGTTATCTCTGCACTGCTCCCAGGGATTCCCTTGGACCTGGGAATGGTTTGAGGACCCCTGGGTGCTGTTTGGGCTGGCAGAGAGTGTGAACAGGAATGAAAAAAAAACCCCATTTTTACACCCAGGAGTGGAAAATGGGTCACCTGAGCGTCGTAATGCAATCGTGAATTTAAATTGCAAATTAATTACAAGCTGCTGTTGAGCTGCTGAGTCAGGGATCAAAAGGAAGAGGAATTATTTGGAATTATTTCTCTTGGCTTGGAAGCATCGTGGAGTTCAAAATGAAGCTTGGAAGATAAGAGGTTTTTGATGATTCCTGCAGGTCAGAGCACATTTTATCACTCAGCTCCCATTTGTGGTCAGTCTGTCTGACCCAAATCCCAAATTGCAGCACTTTGGGATGCTCTGCTCTGCTCTGCAGCCCTGGGGAAGGACAGAGCTGCCAGGAGCAGCCCTGGTGACACCCCAGGTGACAAGGGCAGGACATCCCCACGCTCTGTGGGGCTGAGAATTCCTGCTGCTCTCACTGTGGTGCCTTGTGAAGCTAAGACAGAGGATGGACAGAGTTAAAGAATAAATCAGGGATTTATGAAAGGATCTCCTCAATGGATCCACCACGGGCAGCACAAGAGCCCAGCCAGGGCTGCACCTAAGATGAACCAAAATGGGCCCAAAAAATGGATGGTTGGTCACAAAATGATCAGTTCTGCTCCATTGGCACCTTGGAGTTCATTGTCCCATTCCAGCTCCAGCCCAGGCAGTCCCATCCTGCTTGTTTTTCTCTCTCCAGCCCACGCTGTTGGTGCTCCTGGGCTGAGATTTGGATCATTTGTCCTTGGTGCCCAGCTGGAGCAGGAATTGTTTTGTCTCTGCTCTGTGCAGAGAGCTCAGCATCCCCTCATGGGAAGCTCAGAGCCACACACTAAAGCAGCTCAGAATTTGTAAAAATAGAAAAGCTAAACCTGAGACATCAGCACAGAATGTGAAAAATAGAAAAACCAAAACCTGAGATATAAAAAGCCAAACCTGAGGCATTATTAGAGAATCTGAAAACTAGAAAAGTTAAAACCTGAGGCATCAGCACAGAATCTGAAAAATACAAAAGCTAAACCTGAGGCATCATTAGAGACCCTGAAAAATAGAAAAGCCAAACCTGAGGCATCAGCACAGAATGTGAAAAATAGAAAAACCAAAACCTGAGACATCAACTCAGAAGGAAAGTGTGAGGAATTATGGCTGGAATCAGAGTTCTCAGGGTGTATTCATGTGGCTTCTTGCCCGAGACTGTGACAGAGAAAGTGGCTCAATGTTGTGCAGACCCTGAAAGAAAAACCCCAAAGGATTTTCTGGCCCATTTATCTCATCCTCTGAGCCATGCAGGGCCCCAGGCTCTGGCCGTGGGGTGAGCCCAGCAGTTGTTCTGCATTATCCCAGGGATGCGTGAGCGGGCAGATGGGTAGGGTGGGTGATTAGAGGAGAAAAGAAGAGGAGAAAAAGACAAACATGAGCTTATTTGGTGTTGCCTTTTTCCCAGAATCAGCACTTTGCAGGCCAGCTCGGTGCTTTCATGTGGTGGTATTGATGCTGGGCACTGCTGTGTCTATTGCAACCACATGGGAAACCTTAAAGCAGCTTTAATAGAAAACTTCTGGAGCCTGCAGGAATTTCTTTTCCTTCCTCCTTTTCTCTGCAGCCTTGAACTTCACTGCTTTCCCCAAAGCCAGGAAGGCAAGCGAAGGGAAGGGCAAAACTAAAGCTGTAATGAGATCCTTATTGTGTTCTGAGGATGTTCAGCCATTTGTTGGCAAGCAGATGACCTGGGAGGTGCAGACTTGGTGTTCCCAGCAGCTGTTCTGTGGAATTTGGAATGAGCTGGCTGGCTTTGTGTCCCTTTGGGCTGGGGCTGAACAGATCTGTGTCACTGCAAAGCCTTTTCTGTCCTTGCTGCTGCTCTGTGACAGAGCCCTGCGACTCTGCAGAGGAAATGGAGCCTTGTTTCAATCCAGAGATACTTGTGGGAGCTTTTCATTTCTTTTTGAGGGGGTGAGCTTTGCTGACAACATTTTATTTTTTGGAGACAAATCTTGGAGCGCTCAGAACCCCAATTTGAGCCCAAAGCAAATTCCAGGCCTTGTTTCCTCTGATGGGGAGCTTGGAGCTCTGTGATTTGTCTCCCTCCAGTTATTCATGGGAATTTTCACATCCAGAACTTCAGGCTCTGTCTCTTCTAGGAGCTTTTAATCTATTTTTGAGGGGGTGAGCTTTGCTGACAAGATTTTATTTCTTAGAGACAAGTCTTGAAGCACCAATTTGGGCTCAAAGCAAATTCCAGGCCTTGTTTCCCCACATCCAGAGGTTGGAGCTCTGAGATTTGTCTCCCTGCAGTTATTCATGGAAATTTTCACATCCAGGACTTCATGCTCTGTCTCTTCTAGGAGCTTTTCATCTCTTTTTGAAGGGGGTGAGCTTTGCTGGTGTAATTTTACTTCTTGGAGACAAGTCTTGAAGCACCAATTTGTGCCCAAGGCAAATTCCAGGCCTTGTTTCTCCACCTCCAGAGGTTGGAGCTCTGTAATTTGTCTCCCTCCAGTTATTCTTTGGAACTTTTAAGATCCAGGACTTCAGGCTCTGTCTCAATTCTCAGAAATGTCTCTGCTGGAAAGGAAGATCTCTCCTTTTGCTGTTGCTTGGGATCTGCAGAGTTTCCCTCCAAGGCTGACTGAGCCATCTCCCGTTTCCCATTTTGTGGGAATTGCTGCCCAAACTCATTTTCTTCCCCTGCCAAAAAGCTGTTTTGGCCAGCAGCCCTGTGCTGAGGGCAGATATTGTTCCTGATGAAAGGAAAAGGGAGTAGGAGAGGAGAGGAAGGAGAAACAGCAGCTCCTTACTATGCAAGGCAGCTCTGGCACAACCTCCTTCCCCACATCCTTTAAAAAAAAAGAGCAAGAATTTCAAACAAAGAGAACTGTCATCTCCAGCCTCTGTTTTGATAATAATCCCGGTGACGTCGCAGATTGCTTTGGAAACCTTCTAACAAAATCCACATTTTCAGCCTATCCCTCCTGGCATTCCCTTCCATTTTATCCCTCCAGCTGCAAACGAGCTGGCTTTTTAATTAGCTTAGCTGACACAGCACTCACCCAGTCAGGGGTGACTTTTTCTAATTATTAGAACACTGTAATTAATAAATTGTGCAGCCTCTGTGTGGCCATTCCAGAGGATGAAACCATGACCAGTCTAAGGGAAGAGAAATTTCTTTTTCCAAAACATTCCCAATGCTTGTAAAGGTCGATCGAAAATCTGGAGGATTTTTTTTTTTAAAATTCAGGAAGGGGATGAACTTTTGCTCCCCTGCCATGGGTGATGTTCATCGCCCTGTTCTTCCCTCCAGCATGAGAGGAAAAGTGAGCTGGGAGCAATAAAAGCAAGCTGGAATGTGGATCCATCTCATCCTGGCAGCCAGCAGTGGAAATTCCAGCGTAATTCAAACTGTGGAAGGCTCAGTGAAGGAAGCCTCTTGGCAGGACACATTAATTGCACAGCTAAATGCAATTAATGCTTCCCCCTGCATCCCTGGCGTGTCTGAGGGATAAACTTTGCACCCTGGCTGCTCCAGGCATGTGGCTGTGTGGAAAAATTCAGGATGCATTCAGATGGGTGAGATGTGAGTGGCATCCAGCAGGTGCCAAAGCCAAGCTTTATAAAAACTGAAAAATTATTAAATTAAAAATTTAACTACATTTTAATTAAATTTAAATTAACATTTTTAATATTAAAATTATTATTATTATTATTATAAAAACTATTTTAAAATAATTTTTAAAAATAAAAAAAATATGTTTCCTGTAACTTAAAGGCAGGAGCAGAGAGCTGGGAACTCTGAGCACACACAGGACAGCCCAGCTCCTTTATTCCTTTATCTTCTTCATTTCTTTTTAGCTGGGTAAAATCTCAACTCCCCTGGGAGCCCAGAGATGATCCCAAACAGGATGGGGATCTGGATGAGCAGCACTGAAACCTTTGGAGTTCCCCAGATGAAAGCCCTGCAAAAGCAGGAAAAACTGGTCCTTATCCAAGCAATTCCTGCATGTAAATAATGCACTTTTTTTGAAGTTCAGGGTGGGGGATATTAAGAGATTAAAGGAGAGGAGGAAACTTCAGTGCTCAAAGGAATTTGGATATTCAGATAGGAGATATAAAGATGAAGGGGTCATTTCTTAGCTGCCTGCAAAGAGAAGTTCAGCAGTTCAGAAATTCTCTCTTTCAGGAGATTCTATCCCATCCAAAAGAAATGAAATATTAAAATTGAAGCTGGAGGCAGCAGTTGATAGAATATTATCAGTGTGTGCTAGGGGAAAAATTCCCAAAGCTTTCAGCTTCACAAACTGGGATTTGTTAGGTGGTGTTGATGGTGACATTCCTCCTTGGGATACTCAGAAAGGTGGGAAAAATCTGATGGAGAAGGGCAGCTGTGAAAATCCCATTTGCGGAAGGAAAACCTCCAGTCCTGCACCTTTGTGGATTTGCTGGCTGAGCTGAACAGAAGAAATAATCAGATTTCCTTGAGACTTTGCTCCTGTTTTCTCCCCAGTCTGGTTTTCAGTGGAGAAATTCAGTGTCGTGCTGATCCAGCTTGGCTCCTGATTATCCAGATGGAGCTGGGATGCACCAAAAAAAAAAAAAGAATATTTTACATGTTCTTTCCTGTTGTCTCTCCCAATTCTTGTTTCCACTGGCTGGTTTTTGTCTGCTGAGGAAGGAGGGGGAGAAAAGGGTGGAGAGAGGGAGGGAGGAGCCTGCAAAACCCAAACATCTCTGGAGAAACTTTGCTCTTAAAAAATCACCTCTCAGACAAATTGCTGAGGCACAGGCCAAGGTCTGCTGCAGGAAACCATTTCGTTTCTGTCTGCTCCTCTTTGCTTGGGGGTGATAAATACAGATTTTTTTAGTTTCATTTTTTCACTCTTAATTGTAACCACATGTGAACTGCAAATAGATGGGGAAAATCAGTTTGGTTCTGTTTCCCAGGCCTCCCCCTGCAGCTCGGTTACATTTTTCTCTGCCTCCCTGTGCATTTTCATGGAACATTTCTCAAGAGCTCACAACCCTGGCTGCTCCAGCAGGAGTCTGGAAGGTATTTGTGAGTCAGCAATTCGAATTTTATTGAGTCTTGTACCAAATTAAAATCCAATCAAAACCACTGGGTTCGCTGCTCGGGAGTGGGGATGGGAAGGAAAAGGAAATTTTGAGTCATTCCTCCGGTTTCCTGCCTTCATTTGTGGTTTTTCATTCTTTTAAATGTTTCACTTATTCCCTGCAGTTAATTTTCACTGGATTTTCTGTCTGGGGTTTGGGTTGAAATGGGCTGAAATGGGTGATCCTCTGTCTTTTATCCCCCTCACCCAACAACACAAAGATGAATATTTTTCACTTTATTTTGTGCACTTAAGGAAGCTCACACAACAAAAGCAGAGGCTAGAGATGAGGAGTTCATTTTGACTTTATTTTGCCCCCTTAAAAAAGCTCTCGTGGCATTTTGGATGCTCTGTATGAGGTGATTTCAGGGCAGAAACTGCAAAACCACTGATTTTAGGACAAATTCACCCAAACACTCAATTATTTTCAACCCACAGTAACTCCAAACTCTTTTAGGAGTAACAGAGATGTGGTTAGCCAGGACTGATGCCTCAGGTTTTAACTTTTATATTTTTCAGGTTCTCTAATGATGCCTCAGGTTTAGCTTTTCTATTTTTCACATTCTGTCCTGATGTCTCAGGTTTGGCTTTTCTATTTTTCAGGGTCTCTAATGATGCCTCAGGTTTAGCTTTTGTATTTTTCAGATTCTGTGCTGATGCCTCAGGTTTTAACTTTTCTAGTTTTCAGATTCTCTAATAATGCCTCAGGTTTGGCTTTTTATATCTCAGGTTTTGTTTTTTCTATTTTTCACATTCTGTGCTGATGTCTCAGGTTTAGCTTTTCTATTTTTCACATTCTGTGCTGATGTCTCAGGTTTAACTTTTCTATTTTTCACATTCTGTGCTGCTTTAGTGTGAGGCTCTGAGTTTCCCACGAGGGGATGCTGAGCTCTCTGCACAGAGCAGAGACAAAACAATTCCTGCTCCAGCTGGGCACCAAGGACAAATGATCCAAATCTCAGCCCAGGAGCACCAACAGCGTGGGCTGGAGAGAGGAAAACAAGCAGGATGGGACTGATGGGCTGGAGCTGGAATGGGACAATGAACTCCAAGGTGCCAATGGAGCAGAACTGAACATTTTGTGACCAACCATCCATTTTTTGGGACCATTTTGGTTCATCTTGGGTGCAGCCCTAGCTGGGCTCTTGTGCAGCCCAAAGTGGATCCATTGAGGAGATCCTTTAATAAATCCCTGATTTATTCTTTAGCTCTGTCCAGCTCTGTTCTAGGGCAGCTTTCACAAGGCATCAGGAGGAGGACATTTTTGCTAGATTATTGCTGAATTAATGCTGAATTGTTGCTGGTTTTTTGCCAAATTATTGCTGGATTATTACTGGATTTTTGCCAAATTTTTGCTGAATCATTGCTGAATTATTGTTGAATTATCGCTGGATCATTTCTGGATATTTGCTGAATTATTGCTGAATTTTTACTGGAGCATTGCCGAATTATTGCTGAATTTTTACTGGATCATTGCTGAATTATTGCTGGATTATTCCTGAATTATTGCTGAATTTTTTCTGAGTTATTGCCGAATTATTGCTGAATTTTTGCCCAAGTATTGCTGGACTATTGCTGAATTTTTTTTGAATTACTGCCGAATTATTGCCGAATTTTTGCCGAATTATTGCCGAATTTTTGCCGAGGTTTTGCTGAATTTCTGCCGAATTTCTGCCGAATGATGCTGAGTTTTTTCTCCATTTTTGCTGACTTTTTGCCCTTGCTTGCAGAGGGCAGCCGAGCGGCTGAAGCCCAGCGCTCCCATCAAGTTCCACATCTCCAGCCGCACGGACGCCGGCGTCCACGCCCTGGCCAACGCCGCCCACCTGGACATCCAGCGGGCCCCGGGCAAGGCTCCCTTCAGTGGCCAGCAGCTGCTCCAGGGCCTCAACCACCACCTCAGGCCCGAGCCCATCCGGTGAGGCAAAAACCTGCAATTTGAGCTGCTTTTTACTGCCAAAACTGGAAAAAACTGCCCCCATCCGAGCGGTTCCTGCATGTAAATAATGCACTTTTTTTGGAGTTTGGGGTGGGGGATATTAGGAGATGAAAGGAGAGGATGAATTTTAGAGCTCAAAGGAACTTGGGTATCAGCTAGGAGATATTTATGAAGATGAAGGGGTTATTTCTTAGCTTCCTGCAGAGGGAAATTCAGCAGTTCAGGAATTCTCTCTTCTATCCCATCCGACCTGGAAGCCCAAAACTTTTCCTGGATGTTGGAGGACATGGGGATGGGGCAGAGCTCTGATTTCCTTCCTCAAAAGCAGTTTGGGGGCTGATTTTAGAGGTAGCACTGCAGTGATCCATTTGTTGTGTCACCAACCACTGAACCTCAGTCCTTCTCTTCGGAATTTAGGCCTGGAATTAAGTTGTATTTTCAAGTTTTATTGGAATAAACTATCCCAGAGAGCTGAAAATGCTGCAGCAGAGCCAGGTTTGTGATGCTGACGCCTTGGGAAGGATGAGCTGGAACAGAATTAAAGAATAAAGCAGGGATTTATTAAAGGAGCAGAAATAAAGAATGAAAATAAAGCAGGGATTTATGAAAGGATCTCCTCAATGGATCCACCTTGGGCAGCACAGGAGCCCAGCCAGGGCTGCACCCAAGATGAACCAAAATGGTCCCAAAAAATGGATGATTGGTCACAAAATGTTCAGTTCTGCTCCATTGGCACCTTGGAGTTCATTGTCCCATTCCAGCTCCAGCCCAGGCAGTCCCATCCTGCTGGTTTTTCTCTCTCTCAGATCAAATCCTGGGTTTAATTCTAAACTTTGGCTTTCAGGCCCAAAGTTCTGAGAATTTCCTGCATTTCACATTCCATTCCCCCCAACATCAGAGAATATTTCAGAGTTGGAGTCGTTTTAGGAGGGCTCTGCTGTCCTCAGAGTGGGGCTGGCAGTGTGGGAGTCTCACACCTCCTGGTCCTGGTTTCTATCCACCCAGTAAAATTTGTCTGAGTGACAGCAGAGCTGGGATTCCTCCCACCTTCTGTAAAATTGGCTTTTAGGTGCTGCTAGTGGAGAGAGCAGGAAGATTTTTAGGATTTTTTTGTCTCATACATTGCCATTTCTAATTAAATGTCTGTGTGATTTTTTTTTTTCTTTGATCTCAAAATTCAGGCCCTGTTGGAAATGGTAAAAAATGGAAAAAAGGTAAAAAAAAAAAAAAAAAAAAAAAAAAAAAAAAAAAAAAAAAAAAAAAAAAAAAAAAAGCCACAGTTCTTTATTTACCATCATTTTTAAAAATGGGATCTCACCAAGGCAGCTGCTGAAGAAAATTCTGGAAAAAATATTCCTGGCTAAAAGGAACAATTGCAACAGGAAAAGCTGCCTGCACTGAGGAATTACATGAGCAGAAATAAGTTGCTCTGAGGGAATTTTACTAAAAGGATGATTATTTAATAAAAACCACCCCAGTGTTAGCTCAGGACAGACTGTGTGCTCGTGGAGGCATGCAGACAGAGGGAAATAAATTTATCCTAATAAAATCCTAATTTTATTCCTGTGTTTAGAAGGAGTTTGCATTTCTCCTGATGCTTTGTGGCACTGCAGCAATTCATCCCTGGCCTTGTTTTTGCAAATCTTTGCAGCTCAGCTTTCATTTCTCTGAGCCAGGGCAGGGCTGTGAGCCAGAGGCACTCGAGCTGCCAAAAACCCCCAAAAGCACCAACTTTCCTCCAAGTAAATAAAGATATTTGTGCTCCCAAATCTGTCCTGGTTTTTTAGCTGCCCTGGCTCCTTTCTCCTCGCTGAATTCCGAAGGCAGGAAGGGAAAAACAGCAGGAGGAAAACTCCCTTTTAAGGAGAGCTCCTTAATAAAGCTCCTTAAAAAAGCTCCTTAAAAAAGCTTTTTTAGCTCCTCTGAAGCAGCACCTGCAGGGGTTGTGGCTCCATGTGGATTTTTCCTGTGGGATGCAGAGCAGCAGGAATTTGGGATGAGGAAGAGCTGCAGCCAGTCCGTGAGAACAATTTGGGAGAGGTGCAGGAGCTGGGGGAAGCTTTTCCTTCCTGGGCAGGGGGAATTTGGGGTCTCCACCCTCTTTTGTGGCTCCCAGGCTGTGTGGGGTGACGATTTTGGGATTTTGGAGGAACAGGGAATTTTCTCCCTGCTGCCTGGGGAGGAAAACACCAGGGAATCTCAGCCTGGGGAGATTTTTCTGGGATTGTTTGGGGTGGGTGGGGGATGAGTGGACACGTGCAGGGTCAGCTTTTGGGGCTGAGAGGGCTCTGCTGGATCCATCCCACCCCACTCAGCCGAGGTGGGATTTTCCTGGATGCACAAAGTCCTGCAGGTCCTGAGGGAAGGGACCTCCTCTGGGGCATCTCCATCTGCTGCAGGAATCTTTGGGATTTCTGTGTCCCTGTCGATGGAAAAGATTTGGAATTTCTGTGTCCATGTTGATAGAAAATCTTGGAATTTTGCTGTCCCTGTCACCTTTTCCCTTGTGTCCCGCAGCATCCTCAATGTCCAGCACCTCTCAGTGGAAAACCTTTGGAATTTCTGTGTCCCTGATGATGAAAAAGCTTTGGAATTTTGATGTCCCCATTGATGGAAAACCTTTGGAATTTCACTGTCCCTATCACCTTTTCCTTTCTGTCCCACAGCACCCTCAGTGCCCAGTGGGTTTCCAGCACCTTCCAGTGGAAAACCTTTGGAATTTTGGTGTCCCTGTTGATAGAAAAGCTTTGGAATTTCTGTGTCCCTGTTGATAGAAAAGCTTTAGAATTTTGGTGTCCCTGTTGATAGAAAAGCTCTGGAATTTCAGTGTCCTTGTCAATGGAAATGCTTTGGAATTTCAGTGTCCCTGTTGATGGAAAACCTTTGGAATTTGGGAGTCCCTGTCACCTTTTCCCTTCTGTCCCACAACATCCTCAGTGCCCAGCAAGTGCCCAACCCCTTTCAGTGGAAAAGCTTTGGAATTTCCGTGTCCTTTGATGGAGAATCTTTGGAATTTCTGTGTCCCTTGATGGAAAAGCTTTGGAATTTGGGTGTCCCTGTCACCTTTTCCCTTCTGTCCCCCAGCATCCTCAGTGCCCAGCGGGTTTCCAGCACCTTCCACGCCCGTTTCTGTGCCCTCTCCAGGACCTACATCTACCGCCTGCTGCTGGGCTGTGCCCACCATTCCCAAATCCCTGTCTTTGAGCGGGATCTGTGCTGGGCTCCTGCAGGAGGGTGAGTCCAGGCAAGGAAAATTAGGGAATCAGGGCTGGAGGGGGGGAAAAAAGGGGATAAAAGGGGATTTTCTGGCTCTGCACAAGTCCCTGCTAGGAGGGGACAGGATTAGAGGAATTGGGAGGGGTTTTTGCCTCAGGTTGGGGTTTAGGTTGGACATCAGGAGGGTTTAAGGATCCCAGGAGAGCTTTAGGAGGAATTTCTCTTTTTAAAGGGTTGTTAAATGTGGGAATTGCAGTCACAGAGGACATGGAGATGGGGTAGAGCTCTGATTTCCCTCCTCCAAAGGAGTTTGGGGTCTGAGCTTGGTGTAATTCATTGGCTAATTAAGCCTGCTTTAATTCACTGGGGTTTGAGCCTGGCATAATTCCTTGGGGTTTGAGCCTGGCATAATTCCCTGGGGTTTGAGCCTGGTGTAACTCACTGTGGTTTAAGCCTGGCATAATTTATTAGGGTTTGAGCCTGGCATAATTCTATGGGGTTTGAGCCTGGCATAATTCCTTGGGGTTTTAGCTTGGTGTAATTTACTCAGGCTTGAGCCTGGCATAATTCNTGGGGTTTTAGCTTGGTGTAATTTACTCAGGCTTGAGCCTGGCATAATTCCTTGGGGTTTGAGCCTGGTGTAGTTTATTTAGGCTTGAGCCTGGCATAACTCTATGGGGTTTGAGCCTGGCTCAATCCCTGGGCTCTCCGTGTGCCTTGCAGCCCCCTGGACGTGGCTGCCATGAGGGAAGCGGCGCAGTTCCTGCTGGGCACCCACGACTTCAGCTCCTTCCGCTCGCTGCACGCCGAGGCAGCGGCGCAGAGCCCCGTCAGGACCCTGCTGCAGCTGCAGCTGCAGCCTGCGCCCGGCTTCCTGCAGCAGCACTACCTGCACAGGTGACTCGGGCTGGGGGACCTGCACGGGACAGGCTGGAGAGAGGAATTAGCAAGGAGCAGCTCCTGGGAAGAAATTTTGCAGTATTTTACCTTCATTTTGGTGGCTGAAATCCACCTCTGCCAAGGGGTTGGGTTGGGTTTTTATTCCTGTG